ACCACCAGAATGTAGAACATGGAATGAAAAATGAACAGTGAGAGAAAAATTGAAAAACATGGACGATCCTCCAAGAAGGATCAAAATCTAATAGGAATTTTGGCTTGAGAGCAGGAAAAAACAAAAAACAGAAAATCAAAAAAAAAAACCCCCTACTAGATACTAGATCTCTCAGATCTAGTTAGAGAAAATTTTAACACTTCATCTTAAAAGGTCTTATCTACTGCTAATTCATTTGAATGAAAAAAAAAAACCCATATATATCCATATTCTGGAGAAATTTTACAAATCTAAAGAAAAAGAAACCTCTTCAAGATTCCCCAAAGTGGAAAATGGGCTACATCAAGTGAATGACAATTATATTAGCATTACAGTTCTTTTAAAAATATTTATCTTATGTATATGAGTGTTTTGTCTGCATATATGTAGGTGTACTACATTCATGCAATGCCTGTGCAGTTCAAAAGGGCATCAGATCCCCTGGAATGGTTGTTAGCCACCATGCAGGTACTGGGAACTGAATCCCATGTCTCTGCAAGAATAGCCAATGTTCTTAATCTCTGAGTCATCTCTGTCCAGCCTCCACATTACACTTCTTATTGACTCATTCCAGTAAGAAAATCGAGAGACAATGACTTAAAAAAATAATCCTGGGCTGGAGAGACTCAGTGGTTAAGAACATGTAATGCTTTTATAGAGGACCTGAGTTCAGTTTTAGCACCAATGTCACCAGCTCACTACCACTGCCTGAAACTTCAGTGGCTCCAACACCCTCTTCTGGCCTCTATGGGCATCTGCACATGCATGTGTGCATACCCCCCCACAGATGTACGCACATGCACATAAATACAAAAGAGTAAAAAGAAATCTTTAAAAAACTCAAGGGATAATGATTTTGAATAGAGAGTTCTTATTATGAGCTCAATGTGTCAGACACATAGATGAACATGTCTGTGTCTTTCTACAATCTCATAATTGTATTGAATAGCAACAAATTTAAAATAACAACAAAGGTATGGTGGTTTCATTGCTAACAATTTGCCAGATACCCCTGCTTTCCTTGATAACCTCAGCCCAGAAAAACACAGGTTATTTTATTCCGATCTTAATTACTAATATTAACTCTCAGACTATACATTATATCACATAGTAAATCTATCTATCATCTATCTATCTATCTATCTATCTATCTATCTATCTATCTATCTATCTATCTATCTATCTATCTATCTATCTATCTATCTATCTATCTATCTATCTCTGTCTGTCTTTCTATCTATCCAACTATCTACCTACATTACAGAATAACTACAAAGGGTTACTAGGCTACAGCAGAGTTCAATAGATTTCAAAAGTCCTTAGAAGCAGGGAGTCTGACAGAAATGCAAATTGAATCTGGCAGAAAAGGACAAGGGGATGACATAATTAACCAAACTAAGCTGGAGAAGCTGTTTATGGTTATTGTAGAGTCAGCGGGCTGCAGGGTAGGAGTTGAGCTGTAGAGTTGAGTCCAGCTGTAGAGGTGAAAGTGTTACAGTAAAGAATGGAATCTACCTCTAAGTGGAGACATGCCCTTGCCTCCTCCCTTGAGAGTTAACTAGGTTGAGCTGATCAAAGACCTGGTTAAGGGACCACCTCCCAGGAAGAAGAATGCACCTTAAGATAATGTACTTTTCTTTCCAAGAGTCCCCATTCTTTAGTGAGGTTCAGCTGGGTCTTCCTATCCTTCTGAGACCTGACTCATTAAGGCATGACTAGCCCTTTTTACTTCTTTCTGTTTTTTTTTCTTTCGGATATTAGCGAGAGACCAAATATGCTTTTACATTTCCTAACTCTTAGGGCTTCCTTACTCTTTCTAAACTCCCCTTCCCTGGCTGCCTGCCATCATGTGTCTGACCTTCACGCTTATCTTCTCCATTCTCTTTCTCTGGGCAGCTTTGAGATTTATAGTTTGCCTGCCTTGGGGTTTTTCTTTTAAACGCTAGTAAATTGTCCTTGAGCTTCCATTTGAGTCTGTTCTTAACATTGTTTCATTAATGAAACTAAGAACCAGAAGAGAGGATCCCGGTGTCCTGAGTATCACATTGTGGCTCTACTGGGAATCTCCAAGCTCTTTGGTAACACTTTTTTCTTGCCTTCTAATTCTTTGATTGGTAGAAAAAACAAACCTATTCCTGCAACCTTAGGTGGCATCAAAAGGGCAGGACCAGATCCAGATAAATGAATGAGCAAAGGATGAATGGCAGGTTCAGAGAGGTCAACAGGAGCATGGACAGATGGCGATTTGAGTAAGCTGTCTCAACAGCAGGGACCAAGCCCAGCTGAATCCTCTGAGACAGCTGGCAGTTCTCTGCCTCTTGGCTCTTTTACATATACACCAGTGATCAGACGATAGGTTGGTGGGGCCAGTGCCATCTCAGTGTTAAGTGTTTATTTCTTTATGGGATTCAAGTGAGGGAGTTACACCCTTTCCTTGGTCTGCTATGTCCAGTAAGTTATTGGACTTGGTTTTGATTCCAATATGCTTATATACCTCTGTTGATGTGAAAGCATAGCTCTCACCTCAAAGGGGATAAGAGATAGTTTATTCTGGAGCCAAATATGAGTGACCATGGTCTGGGAACACAGATTCAGATTACCCAAAATTCCATGTTTCAGGGTGGAAGCAATTTTATGGAGTTTTAGTAACAGAATAAAGAAAAGTCATAAATCAAGACATTTTTTTCAAATACATTGGTGGATACATTCAGTAGGCAGGTCATAGCAAAGCTGGGGGATTTTTACTATAGGTCTCAGATGCTCTCTGATAACATTCTTAACTTTTTGATTGGTGGGACTGGCTGGTCTGTAAATACCTTACAAGAAGGTTTTTTTTTTTTTTTTTAATCTATTAATCACAGGTTGTTAGATCAGAAACTGAGATGGGCAAGGAAATGGCTATTTAGTGGCTAAAGGTAGCCTGAGATAAGTGGTAATTAGACTCTGGACCTGCAACATTTCCAGACTCTCCACAATCTCCGGAGCTCTCATCAGTTAATCAGTCTTGCAGAAGATGCATAGTTTTTCTGGGAACTTCCATTCACACCCTTATAATCCCAATTCACCTGATAAATTTATAGAATGGCATATTTTCTAGTCCCCAAAGTAAGTTATTTATCAGTCTGTGCTGCATGATGGTCCCAGACAGTTGGTGCCTTTCACATGTCCAAATTCAGAGTCACCTTCTATCCTCAAAAAATGGAGTCAAAAGCTACTTGTAAAATGGAGTCTCTCAGGGCAAGGTACAGTCTGAAAACCACTGTTTTTCACAATATGGAGTACCTTAGAACAGGGCACAGACTGATCTCAACAGGACTATAGCCAAATTAGCATTTAAATAGAAGGCAAAGTTTTCTTTGTGGTTTTTTTTTTTTAATATATATGTTTTTGTTGCTGTTGTTTTTGTTTTGAGACAGGGTCTCACTATGTAGTCCTGACTGGCCTGGAACTTGCTATGTAGACCAGGCTGGCCTCAAACTCACAGAGATCCACCTGCCTCTGCCGCCTGAGTGCTGGGATTAAAGGCTTGTACCATCTTGCCTGGTCCTGTCTTTTTTTTTGTTAAGATTAAAAAAATTATTATTTTTTATTTATTATTATTTATTATGTGTATGTGTGTGTGTCTGTGTGAATGAATTCTACATTTGTGCAGGTCATGAAGGCCAGAAGAAGGCATCAGATGTCCTGGAGCTGGAGTTACAGGTAGCTGTGAGCTGCCTATCTTGGGTGCTGGGAACTGAACTCAGGGTCTCTGGAAGAGCAGTAAGCAGTCTTAACAGCCTCCATGTCATTTTTTTTTAATACCCAAGTTTTGAAAAAAAGTTATCACTCACAGACCCTTCCAGAAAGAATTGCTTAAGAGTGCACTACAATAAAATGAAATAAGAATCTAAGGAAGAAGAAAATAACAGGGGACAGAAATATATATATTAAAAAATTCCAGATGTTACTTGTGCAGTAGGCTTGCAGAAGAAATATTTATTATTTTAAATTTCAAAAATCACAATATATTCTATTTTTCCTTCAATAAATATATATTTAGTGATGGGTAATTTGTCCACCGTCTCTTTGGGTCCAAATTCTCAGTACCACGAATATTTTTAACATTATCATCATACTATAAATATTTGTCCTTAGTTTTCTCCCTTCCTTCCCTCCCTCCCTCCCTCCCTCTGACAGAATTTCACATAGCTCAGGTTGGCCTCCAACTCTCTGTAGCCTAGGCTAGCCTTGACTTCTTGATCCTCCTGCTTTCACTATAGGTGTACCACCCCATGCTTGACTTTTGTTTTCATTGTTAAGAATTAACTTATAGGTGGAGAAGAGTTACAACCAAACAAAGCAAAGCTAAAGTAAACATACTCATATCCCTCCGGTTTTTGAAAAAGTTACAGGGCTGGGGGTGTAGCTTAGTGGCAGGGTACTTTTGTAGCACGCATGAAGTCCGAGGTTTGATCTCTAGCACACAAAAACAAATAGAGAAGGGAGCAAGAATTCCAAAAAGACAATCTTCGGAAATTTTAGTTGACATTACAGAACAGTGTAAAATTGTATGAAGTCTGCCAATGACGACAAGCAACGGCCTACTGAGTAGTGTCTATAGATGGTGGTGGTCGTTAGGTCCGTCACCTTAACTCAGAAGATAATCAAAGGATCCTGGGTGTGGCTTTGGGGGTTCAACAGGGTTGGCAGGGAAATTGGGAGAAGATGGGAAGCTGGACAAATAGGGAGATGGGTGGGGAACTGAGTTACAAGATGACAGACGATGCTGGTGGGGGATGGTTAAGTAAGGGACACTGAGTACATCCGGCCAGATGAAAACAGCAGCCCAGGGCGGCGGGGGCGTGGTTTGTACAGCTGGAGGCGGGATTAGAGCAAGTCCCGCCCACATGGCTGGCACGCATGCGCAAACCAGTAGTCCGCCGTTTCCTCGAGCACCTCTGGCCACCGGCCCTCACCTCACGGCTCTGGTGGTGTCGGGGTTTTTGCACCTCACTGGTTCTCCCCTGACTTGCGATGTCTCGCCTGCTACTGCTCTGTTCTTCCCTCCTCCGCCATCCTGTGGTCCTGGTCGCCAAGCCTCGCGGTCGCCTCGCCCACTCGGAGTGCTCACGCCTGGCAGTCGTCACCTCCCTGGTGAGATGGCGTCTGCGAGGGGCAGCGGGGGAGGCTGAGGCTCGAGGGCCCCAGCGCGTGGGGACACCAGCATGGATGGGTGCGGGGTGGCTCCTGTGTCGGGTGTCTTTGGTGGGATGGCCCCTGTGGTGTGGTCTCCTCTATGGTGGGGTAACCCCTGTGGGGGATTTGCCTCTGGAGGGGCTCAGAGCCAGGGCCCCAAAGGGCATCGTGGTGGCCTCCAGGGCGGCTCTGCAGGCGGTGGAGAGGGCCTGGCCTTCCATCACGGTTACCCTTGGTGGGCGTGGAGACCCACACAGGGGACTCCCTAGAGCTGGTGTTCACCCAAGAGTACTTTACCAACTTGAATGATTGCCTACATTTTCACTTTTGCCACGATCCTACTTTTAGGACAGCTGACAAATTCACAAAATACTCTTTTTTAAAAAAGGTGCGGGTGTGAGTGTGTGTGTGTGTGTGCGCGTGTGCGTGTGTGCGTATGTGAGGAGAGGTACCCATGCAGGCCAGAAACATCAGATGCTCTGGAACTGGAATTATAGGCTCTTGTGAGCAACCCCAAAGGGGTACTGGGAACTGAACGCACATCCTTTGCAGGAGCAGAATTGGCTCTTAACCCTGATCCATCACTCAGAAAACATCTTTAGCAGTTTGTATGTGTGGGTAATGGTAACAACCTAGGGCTTTGTGCATGAAAGCTTGTAAAGCTGTCCCTCTACCGCTAAGCTTCAAGTACCTCGGCCCATAAACCATCTTGTTAGGCAGTGAATTACTGATTGAGGAAGCCTCACTTATTAACATCAGTTTTCATTTTCTTTTCCAGGAAACGCTTTTTGGACTTTCGGTGATTTTTACTGCCTTTTTCATCCCGGCTGCATATGTGCTAAGCCATCTGAGCGAGTTTAAAGGAGAGTAGAAGGAAGACGATGTTGAGCAGCACCTCAGGTCCAAAACGCTTTCAGAAAAAGCTGTGACGCCTTTAAATGAGAAAAAGTGCTTAGTAGAGTCCATTGTGACTATTCAGTTTCATAACCATTTGTTTATGGTGTTTTGCATTCTTTTAGGTCTTAAGTATTAAATAAAATTGAAACACTCCTGCTTAATTTTAGTTTTTTATCTTTTTTTCTTGAAATGCTAGAGAGAAAATCCAGGGCTTCATGCATTGGAGGTACTCTACCACAGAACTATACCCCCAGTCCTTAAAGATTGTTTTCTAAACATCATGAAAATTGGCAAAATTTTACTAATAAAAAATACAGTGAGCAAAAAACGAGAATTGCTACGAAAGGTCAGACTTAGTGATTCAGAGTTACATCAAGTATTTTGAGGGAGTGAATACTTGAATCTAGTGACATCAACTTTGAAAGATTAAACATGTAGATTTAAGGTAGTGTAAATTTAGCTAAATGGTTTTCTTTATGTTCTGTTAGTCATATATTGTGAGGGGGTTGGAATGAACCCCAAGACCTCCACATGGGAGGCTTGTATTCTACTACTACTGGGTTTCAGTCACACAGCGATTGATCTTGCTTTAAGTTCCTGCATTCCAAGGTTTTTGGTAGTATGTGTGTGCTTGTCACTCCTAACTTCTGAGTTTGTTATTCTTCATTATCTTTCAGGTTTGACACGTTGTGTATATATACCTGTAGTAGTTATTTTTCAACAGAAACAGTGTGAAGAAGGAAAGACTTATTTTGGCTTATTGTTTCAGAGGGTTTTGTCTTTTATGCTTGGGATAATTTGGCAGAGCAGAGCACTGTACAATCATGGGGTCAGGAAGCAGAGAAAAGGGTACTATAGAAAGGGGCCAGGGAAAGATACAACCCCAAAGACGTATATCCAGTGACCATTTCCTCCAACTATTCATCATCTCCCAAAGATACCTTAATATGAATCCATCAAAGGATTAAACCATTGATTAGGGTCAGAGCCTTCAGGATATAGTCACTTCCAAAACCCTATCAAAAGGCAGCTAAGCCCCCAAGACATGAAGCTATTGGGGACATTTCATAGTCAAACTATAATAATACCTTGGAGGTTTTTGTTTTGTTTTGTTTTGTTTTTGTCTTTCTGAGACAGGTCTTCCTGTAGCCCCAGCTGTCCTGGTCCTGGAATTCACTATGTAGACCAGGCTGGCCTTGAACTCACAGAGATCTGCTTGCCTCTGCCTCCCGAGTGCTGGGCACCACGCCCGGCCGTCACTTTTTCTTTTTAGAAAAAGTGTGCCTGTATGATTTATGTACATATTCATGTATGTGCATATGTTTATGCATGTGTACAGGTCCAAGGTCAACTTTGGGTGGCAAAATGCTGTCTCAAAAAACAAGCCTCCCAAACTGAAAAGCAGAGAGAATTACAGCTGAAAAGAACAGAGAAATGTCTAAGAGCTGGGTATTGTGGTGCAATTGCAAATTAACTCCTGCTTGAGCTACAGAGAGTTTAAGGCTAGCCTGAGCCACAGGGTGAGACACTGTTATAAACAAATTCAAAGACCATGGAACTATTACAAAAGGTGGGACAGCCAGGTGTGGTGGCTCAAGCCTTTAGTTCCAGCACTTGGGAAGGCAGAGACAAGCAGATCTCTGTGAGTTCAAGGCTAGCCTCCTCTACCTAGAGAGTTCTAGGCTATGTAGTGACCCTGTCTCAAATAAATAAATATTTTAAAAAGATGGATCATATCTCTCAGTGGAATGCTGTAGGGACTAATAGCCTTGGTAGGCCACTGAGATTGGATACCCTCCCTTGTGGTCAGCTTGGACTCCACCTCCTGTTAACACTAGAAGGGAAAGCCCCCTCCTTAGGATTTAAACTACTATCCAAAAAGTGGAGCTATCTGGGTTTTGTTGAGGTCTATTAAGGAATAGCTGTTTCTTCCTGGTTGAAAGAATAAAGTCTAAACTCTACCCATGGCCCTGGGTGGAGACCTTAAAATTCTAAGCTACTCCAAATACTACATACTAAGAGCACCTATTGCTCCTCCATAGGAACTGGGTTGGTTCCTAGCACTCACATGGTGGCTAACAACTATCTTTAACTCCAATTCCAGGGGATCCAATGCCCCCTTCTAGCCTCTGCGGGCATGGTACACATGGTGCAGGCAACACGCATACACATTAAAAAAATAAGCTAATCCAGCTGGGCCTGTCAACTACTTGGCCAGGAGTCTAACCCCCAAGAGGCTGGTTCACTTGAAGATATACTAAGAAAGGAAGGACTATGCCCTTAAATGTACTTCTCCTTCCCAAAAGCCCCTTGGAGCAGACACTTGCAGTACATCTGTCAGGTGGCACTGCAGAGCAACTGGCATAACTTTTATCTTCTGGCCAAAATCCTAAACGTGCTTTCCTTGTCTCTCTAGACTGTCTTCTTTCTCTGAAGCTTCTCTCCCCATCCCCCAAAAACGTACATTGTAAAAGTCATGTGTTTCTTCTCCATCTCCCTCCTCCAGGCAGCTGCCAAGATTTACAGCTTGCCTCCCGTTTTTTATTTTTCTTTTTCCCTCAAATTATAATAAAATTGTCCTCAAGCTTCTTTCTGAGTCCATTCTTAAATTCTTTTATTAATGATGCTATGAATCCAAAAAAGAAGCCTTGGTTTCCTTGGTAACAAGAATACCTCGAGAAGCAAAGGAGCAAAAGAAATAAGAAATATTTAAAACAGTAACAACCAAGATTTCTCCCCACATTAATACCAGACACCAAAACAGAGATCCAGAAAATTCAGAGAACACCTGACAGGATGAATGCCAAAAACGCTACACTGAGACATATAATTTTTCAACTATAGGAATCAAAGACAAATTCTCAAAGGAGAGAGTCAAAACATTTTATCTATAGAGCAATGAAGAATTGTAGCCAAATTTTCAGAAGCCATGCGTTATGATTTAAAAGTAATGTATTTGGGTACCAAGTTGACTAGGGGTGGATTTATGATGGTTAATTTTCACTAAACCTGCCTAGATTTCAAATCACCTAGGAGACACATCTCTGGGCATGCCTGTTAGGGTGCTTCCAGACAGATTAAACTGAGGAGTGAAGATCTACTCTGAATGTGGGCACCCCCATCTTACGAATAAAAAGGAAAGTAAAAGTGACCTGAGCACTAATGTTCATCTCTTTCTGTTTTCTGATTGTAGACAGCTTTTGACCAGCTGCCTCAGGATCCTGCTTTCATATTTAGAAATGCTCTTGCTACCATGCCTTTCCCACCATGGTGGACTGTACACCCAAAGTAGGAGCTGAAACAAACTGTTGCTCTTGTCAGGTATTTTTGTCACCAAAACGGGAAAAGGACAACTTAGTGGTACTCTGTTGCAAAAATAACAATAAACAAAACAAAGCAGCTGTGCAAGACCACTGGGAGCTGACAGGCAAACTGTGTGGTGGTTGACAAGGACAAGAGAGACCAAACCCATCAGCTCACCTAAGAGGCTGCTGCCTGATGGCTTTGGTGGCATGTGCCTGGGCTATCTTCTGTACATGTCAAGTTCTTACTGCAGAGGCAGGCACCAGGTATGACTAGACACCCTATGTACTCTGGTACCAGTGACTTTCTGGAAGACAGGGCATCACATGTCTGGGGCATGGCTGCAATCATTATCAGGGTCACCCCTATTAGGGCTTTGGGCTAGGTGCTAATCAGGCTACACCCACCTGCAGTAGCTTCTTTCTCCATCTTCACAGCTTTTATCAAAGAAATGGCAAGCCCCCTACTGAGAGCCTTCCTGTGAATCTGTGATTCTCTAACAGGCTCCCCAGGTTCCCAAACTCTAGGAAATAAATGTTAACTTTCAGACCAGATGCTGCTCAGATCATGCCAATCTGCAGCCCTCTCTATTTCTACTCTCATACTTGATTCTGTGATCATTGCTGCTACAGGGACAGATGGACACCCTACAGAGAGCATGTCAATGAATCTGTAACTTTCTAACAGACTCCCCAGGCACTCAGATTCCAGGAAAATGGCAGGCACCTTAATTTTCTCTTCCACAAAGGAAATTTACCAGCCCCAAGCCACCAGACTCTGACCCCTTTCCTCTCCCCCTGGCCTGGGAATCAGAGACAGCTTGACTGTAAGCAGGTACTATGTACTGCTTATCACTATGTGACATAGAACCACCCTTTTTCTGAAACCTTTTACAAGGGAAGTCTACTCTGCCTTGTGTGTCTGAACTCTCCTCAGAGCCTCTGCCATGATGTATCCATGGTGGTAATTCTTTTTTGTTTGTTTTTTTGATCATTTTGAGACGGGGTCTCCCTGTAGCCCCAGTTGGCCTAGAACTGACAGAGATCAACCCGGCTCTGCCTCCTGAGTGCTGGCTTGTGGTAATAACTTAACAATCTTTTACCCAATGGACACTTTACCTTGATATCCCCCTTCAGCTCCCAAACCAAGTTAAACCCCTATGTTAACTATGTGCTTCTTTTGGATTTTGTTTTGGAAAGAAACTACAGCAGAAATCTCCAGAGGATATACTCAGTTTTGCCCAACTGTTTTAAAATAGGTATTATCTGGTATGTTCATCAGAAGAATCTCCCTGCCTAGAGAGTAGATGAAGTACTTGCCATGGACTTGCTTCCTTGGCTTTGAAATTACCATAATGTTCCTTAGTTGGGTCACTCCTAACTTGTTAGGTGAAAAGCTGTCAATGTTTCTGCATGCTAGATAGCCTGGAAAGTCAAGTGTTGAGGAGAAGCAATGGTCAGGATAAGGTCATCTTGAAGGGTGAAGGGAGAATGGTGGGATCAGAGCTCTGCCCGGACATGGTGAAACTTGTTTTAATGACATCTGGTAACTAATATAAGTTGGTGTGACTGAAACTTTTCAAATGGGGTCAATCCACTAGGTCCAGGGGTATTCCTGGCCCAGTATAATGCCAAGGGCAGTAGAGTCACCCAGTCTTTAGTGCCAGTTGCT